CTGCTGCTGGATGGTGGGGTTCATAGAGTAGGGGTCCTCGGGGCACTCACTGATGCCATGCTCTTGCAGGTAGGCAGCCAGCCCCTGTGCCTGGTACTGGGGGTCATTGCTGCGCTTCCACTCCAGGAACTCCTGACACGACAGGCCCTGGTGCTGCGGCTCCCACTGACGACAGGCCCTGGTGCTGCGGCTCCCGCTGTGCCGGGGAGGAAGGGATCAGCATCTGCTGGGGTGTCCCAATGCCCCCAGTACCTTCCAGTACCCCTCAGTACCTTCCAACACACCCAAAACCCTTCAATGCCCCCAGTACCTCCCAGCACCCTGCAGTTTCCCCTAGTGCCCCCAGTAAATTCCCCCAACCCTCCAGTACCTCCCAGCACCTCTCAATTTCCCAGTGTACCCCACCTCCCAGTAATTCCCCCAATGCCCTCCACTACCTCCTACAACTCCCAATACCCCCCAATATCAACCAGTGCCCCCCACCATCCCCCAGTAATTCCCTCAGTGTCTCCCAGTAATTTCTCCAGCGCCCTCAAATGCCTCTCAGCACCCCGTTTTCCCCAGCACCCCCCAGGCCTCCTAGGCTCACTGGGCGCTTGCAGTGGACACAGAAGCTCTGGCGGCACTGGGGGCATTGGGCGTCCCACTGCTCCGACTCGTAGATGAACCCGAATGAGCACTGGGGGGAGGAAGGCGGAGAGAGGGTCGGACAGAAATGTGGGTGCCTCCTTTGCTCCCCCAGCATCCCCCGACACTCCCCACCCCCCCTCACCCCCTGCACACTCAGCTCATTCCCATGGACACAGCCCCCTCACACACTCAGCTCACCTCATGCACATTCACAGGCCCCTCACACATTCAGCTCACCCCCTTGCACACTCACAGCTCCCTCAGGCTCAACTCACTGCGTCACATGCCCCCCACTCACGCATGAACTCAGCTCACCCTTTGCACGCACAGCTCACCCCATGCACACTCAGAACCCCCTCACACACTCACAGCCCTTCACAAACTCAACTCACCCCCCTCACACACTTACAGCCCATTTGCATACTCAGCTCATCCCCTGGGATGCTCACAGCCCTCCCATACTCAGCTCACCCCCCACCCCCCCCCGGCAGCCCCCCCCCCCCCCCACCCGGCATGCTCACAACCCCCTTGCACACTTAATCTGTAGCCATAAAATGCCCATGTCCACTCCTGAGAAATGCCGCATAGCAACTGAGCGGGTGGAGAGGTCGCTATCTGGGTAAAACTAAGCCAGAAGCTACAGATTGTGTCAAAGCACCAACACTGTCACCAACAGCAGGGAGAAAAGGAGACAGAGCGGACGTGCGAGGAGGAAGGTACGCAGGTGTGGGCGTGCTTGTTTATCTACGGAAAATACCCGGAAGTAAGAAAGTGATTGTATCAGCAAATAAATCTACATGATGGGAGAGGGAAATCTCTTGGGCCTCTGTCTTTCCACCAGCTGGTTCCCCAATGCAAGCATTTGGGGTAATGAGTTCATGCTCTTGCATGCTCAGCTCACCCCTTTGCGCACACACACACACTCAGGTCATGCCCCCCCTGCACACTCACATGTGTGCACCACTGGAACTTGGGGTCCCGCATCAGCTCCTGCTCTGTCAGCTTCTTGGTGAACAGCTCATAGGTCTCGGGGTCCAGGCACTCCCGGAGCTGTGGGGTGGGCAGGGAGTCACGGGGTGGGGGACTCCAGCAGTTCTCCCTGCGCCATGTCCAAAGGATATCAGAGGTCCCCAAGTCCATATATTGGGGAGCACTGAGGTGCTGTTGGGGTGATGAGGCCCCGGGCAGGATGTTGGGGGGGCAGGGACCCAAGGGGATATGTAGGGGGGTTAGAGGGATCCTGTGGTATCTGTGGAGGTGTCCCCAAGGGTTGGGGGGCACTTGGGGATCCCCCACAGGATGATGAGGGGCAACAGGGACATCCTGTTAATTCTGGGGAGGGTCTCAGGGGGGTTCCTCCTGGGCTGGGGAGCACTGGGAGGGGTCTTTCCAGTTCTACAGGGGTTCCCCCTCACTGGGGGGATCTAGGGGGGGTCCCCTCTAGCTGGGGGGCCTTGAGAGGATCACAAGAGAACTGGAGTGAAGATATGGAGCACCTCAGTACTAGGGGAATATCAAGGAGGTCTTCTTGACCTGGGGAGTGCCAGGGGGTCCTCAATTGGAGGGCACTGGGGGGGTCTCCAGAGTCCTGCGGGGTATTTCCAGTGGCCTGGGGAGCCTTGGGGGCGGGGGGTCACCTAGACTGGGGTAGGGATAGGGGTTTGCGGGTTGGGAGTGAGGAGAACTGGCAGGGCTGGAGGGGCAGAGGGCTGGGCAGCCTCAGGGGGTCACCAGGGCTGAGGTAAGGGTAGCCTGGGGTGGGGGGCACTGGGAGGGCCCCTGGAGACTTGGGGAGAAACCAGAGGGTCGTGGGCACCTGGATGTCAAGGGTGGAGAAATAGGCGAGGCGATCGGGCTCGTGGCGCAGGTCGGGGGCATCGCAGGCCGGGCACACGAGGTCTGTGATGTGCTTCTCCTTCACGGCAATGGTGAAGTGCTGCACAAAGCACTCGGGGCAGATTGTGCACTCACATGATGTCAGGGACTGCATCTGCACAGGACAGAGGGGCACGCCGGGTTTGCATGAGGAGCTCCCATGGGGAGTGTTACACACGGCATGTGCATAACAGGGAGGACACAGATCAAATAAGGGATGCATGCATTGTACGTGGGGGGGTTGCGTTGCACGAGGGGTGCCCACATTGTTGCATGTGGGGATGTGCACAGCTGTACCTGGTGGCGGGGCAAGGCCCAGCCGCAGACAGCACACTCCCAGCTGAGCAGGCGCTTGATGAAGGCACGGTCGGGCGAGGCACGCACAGCTTCCACGATATCACCCAGCACCAGTCCCCGGCCCCTGCCTGGCCCTGGCCCCACGCCCAGCTCCTGTGCCAGCGACGCCACCAGCTCTGCCCGGCCCCAGCTTGGTAGCCCCTGTGATGCCAGCACCCGCCGCACCACCGCCTGTGCAGTGGGGCAGGGTTCCAGGACCCACACCCCTGCCCCCAAGGGGCCTCCAGCCCCCACACTGAAGCCATGAAGCCCCCCAGCCCCACCCCCAGGGGACCCCAGAAACCCCCTGCCACACCCCCCTGGGGCCCCTCCAACCCTGCCTCCTGGCGACCCCAGCCCCCCATTTCCATCTGCCGCCAAAAAACCAATGGACCCCCCTGGTCCCTGCCAGGGACCGCATCTCAGCCCACCTTGAGAAATCCCGCCCACCAGGGGCCCTGCAAAGACAGCCTCATGTCCCAGTGCCTCCCGCACCCCCATGCCCACACCCTGGCTCCCCTATAGATGCCAGACCTGCCCTAGGAACCCTGATCTGCTCCCAGAATCTCCCACAAACTACAAGACCCCTCTGGACCTCCCCCTGAACCCTGCCAGCTTGTCCCAGCCACCTGGAGACCCATAGCCCCTCTCAGAGGCACCCTCACAACCCCAGAGACCCCCAGACCTCCCAGGCCCCTGCCCGGTCCCCAGATACCTGGTGGTCCGACGCATGGAAGTCGATGGGGGGCTCGTTGGAGGCCCAGAGGCGCTGGCAGAAGGGCTCCAGCACAGGGCGCTGCAGATCACGCAGGGCCCCCCACAGGTCCCCCTCGTTGTGGTACAAGGCCTCCAGCACTGGTTCCCCCACCCCGAAGCCCAGGCCCCTCAGCGCCCGCACCTGGCGGGAGAGACTGGCACTGGGACCCCCCCCCCCCCCCCCGCCCCCACCCCCCCGGGGCCCCCCCCCCCCCAACTCTGCCCCAACCCTCTGAGCGCCGCCCACAGCACTCCAACTCCACCTACCACCTCCAAACTCCACCCACAGCTCCCATAGCCCAACCCACTGCCCCAAATTACACCCACACCTCCCATAGTCCCACCTACACCCCAAACCCCACCCACAGCCCACACCCCCAAGACCATAAGCCCCACCCCCAGAACACCCAAACTCTGCCCTTCCACACACTCAAGCTCCTCCCACCACCCAAGCCCCACCCATCTCCATGGCCCAGCCCTTTCCCAAGCCCCACCCTGCCATGCAAATACCACCCTCACTGTGGCCCTGCCCCCTCCCCTAGGATCCACCCCCATGTCAATCCCACCATTCACCAGAGCCCCACCCCTCATGCAAATCCCACAATCTCCCATGGCCCTGCCCCTGCTCAGGCTCCCCTCTTCATGCAAGTCCCACCTCTCCCCATGTTCCCCCGCAGCAAGCCGTACCCACTCGTGCCAGCCCCACCCCCACACCTTGGTCCTGCGGGCGCCCAGGCAGCGGCTCACGGCCTCGTCAACGTCCCCGTGGCTGCAGACCCAGGCATCCCGAGCCTCGCCGAGGGTGATGGCGCCCAGGCCCCCACCTGGCTCACAGCTGGCCTGGCCCGACGCAGCCTCCATCACTGCCCCCAACACAGCTGGCAGCTCCGAGCGCAGCCAGGGCAGTGGGCACTCTGCCCCCGAGTACCGCCGTGCTGCCTCCACCTCCTCAGGGGACACACCCGCCATCTCTGCCTCCTACCACATGAAGGGGGTGGGACTTGTCAGGCCACACCCATGGGGAAGAGCTAGGACAAGCCATACCCACGGGGGAGGATCCACCCCCTAGCAACACACCTACAGCTGGGAAAGGGGCTAGGCCTCCAAAGGGGGGAGCTGGAGCAAGCCACACCCACAAGGGAGGGATTTGAGTTGGTCGTGCCCCTAGTGGGAGATGCTGGGCAGGCCACACCTGTCCCCCCCTTGCACACAGCAGGGAAGGGACACCACTAGGCCCCACCCACATTCAGGGGCAGAGGGCCATGGCTTGCAGGGAAGGGGGGCCTGCAGGGAAGTAGGCAGGGCCTCACCCGGATCATGGCCACCAGCTTCATGCCATCCTCCCGGAGCTTGTCTTGGCGCCGCCGCTCGGCCTCCTCTGGCGAGAGGTGGGGGGGCTTGGCCAGACGCCGGGGTCCCTTGTCCCCAGGGGGTGGGCAAGGGGTTGCATCACCCAACTGGCTGGTGCGGTGACACACCTCGCACACACGCCCTGGCGCCTGGTTCCAGAAGGTGCAGTGCTCACACTGCCAGCCCGGTGCCTGGGGGCAACAAGGTGTTAATGGGTTGTGGGGTGGTAGGGAGGGGCAGCACGTGGGGAGTGGATCTCACCTGGGGGGTGGCAGGGGCCTCAAGGGGGGGGCGCCCAGCCAGGCGAGGGCGCTCGCACACGGCGCACAGGACAGTGCCGGGGGGGTTGAGCAGGGTGCAGCTGCGGCAGGCCCAGGCGCTGGGGGCAGGGCTGGGGACAGCGGTGGGTGTGGGAGGCCCAGGGGTTGGGGGGCAGGCGCGGGGCCGATCACAGCCCCCGCACAGCACTGCCAGCCCCTCGTTGGGGGTCCCACAGGCTGTACAGCGCCACGGTGGGCGGGGGGCTGGGACGGGACCCCGGCGTCCGGGTGGCAGCTCCAAGGACAGGCTGGGGAGACAGGGCAGCAGGGTCAGAGACACCCCAAGCCCCGCCCTCAGACATCATTAACACCCTAATCCCCGCCCCCTCTCCCCTGGCCCCACTGCTAGTGCTCACTGGCTCCCAAGCCCTGTCCCCTCACCCCTAGCTTCACCCCCGGCCCTCACTGGCTTCCCAAGCTCCTCCCCTCTCCCCTGGCCCCACCACAGTACTCACTGCCCCCAGACCATGCCTTCTCCCCTAGCTCCGCCCCAGCCATCACTGTCCCCACAAACCTTACCTCCCCTGTGCCCATGCCCACCCCCACCTCCCTGCCTGGGGATCCCCACTTCCCCAGGACAGGCCCTTTCCTAGCTGCCTTCAGAGTTCTTAAAGGGCAAGGCCCCCTGAGTTTTTAAAGGGGAGGGCCCCCCCTGGGGGGGGGGGGGGTGTGCATCATAAATCAGAGGCCTCATTAAACCCTTATATTGGGGGTGAGGGGAGGACTTGGAGGTCCCTGGTTGCCAGGCAACAGTGGGGCAGGGGACAGGGCTAGAAGAACCTAGTACAGGGGTGGGCACTTATTTTTGGAGGAGGGCTGCTTACTGAGTTTTGGCAAGACATCGAGGGCCACATGACAGGCAGCCAAGGGCAGATAACTATTAATTCTCTAAATTTTTTAGGGGCCCCGCAGGCTGGATAGAATGGCCTGGCAGGCCGCATCTGGCCCGCGGGCTGCATTTTGCCCACCCATGGCCTAGTACCTGGAGGGGGCAGGGTCTCCATTCCCTGAAGGAGCCCAGGGGCGGGGGAGTCCTTCTGCGGGGACCCATGGCGGTGGCACTCAGAGCACAGGCCGGGGGAGCCGTCAGGTGCAGATGCCCCACACCGGGCACACGGCCCCCCTGCACCTGCAAGCAGGCAGGGGAGACAGGTCAGAGCTGGCCCCAGACACCCACGCAGCCCCCCCAGCCCCACTACTCACCAGGCAGGGGCAGGGAGGCTGCAGGGCCCTGCTCCGGGTTTGGCACCACTTCAGGGGTCAGCACCCCCTGCACAGACATGAGCACTCTGTCAGCTGGGCCTGCACTGACCCCCAGCCTCCATTGAACCCCCAACCCCTGGACACCTCTCCAGCTCTCACAAAACCTCCACTGAACCACCTGACTCCCAGAGACCCTGATCACCCAAAGACCCTGCCTGCTCCCCATGGATGCCCCCCAGACCTCAGAGACCACCCCCAACCCAGCCCTCCATGGACCCCCCATGTATCCCCTTGCCTCTACTTTTATCACCCCTCCTAAAACCCCAATTTAACCCTCCTGCCCCCAGAGACCCTTCCCCAGAACCTCCACTGAACCACCTGACTCCCAGAGACCCTGATCACCCAAAGACCCTGCCTGCTCCCCATGGATGCCCCCCAGACCTCAGAGACCACCCCCAACCCAGCCCTCCATGGACCCCCCATGTATCCCCTTGCCTCTACTTTTATCACCCCTCCTAAAACCCCAATTTAACCCTCCTGCCCCCAGAGACCCTTCCCCAGACCCCCCAAATCCCACCAGCACCCCTAGGTCCTCCCAATCCCCAGTGGACCCCCACAGAGCCCCCTAGACCACTTGAGAAATGACCAGACCTGCATGGACCCCCCCCCGCTTGACTACTCC